AGGACCAAGTACTCCAGACTGAATAAGACTCTCCAATCTTTTATTAGAAATATGACCAAGTCGTCTATGCCATAAATTGGCAGGAAGCGAGGTAGAGGGTTTTGACGAACAAACAGAAGCAACAAGAGTATGCGGACGTATGGACTCTAGAAGGTGAAGATATTCCTTAAAATATAGCTTGTGCCTCCTACGATCCGCCCCAACCTTCTTACCCGCCTCTGGATCCTACACAAGACAAGTATTAGAAGAAAATGAGACAAGAAGGCCAGTCATACATAAAGAGCTAATAGAAATTAAATTCAAGTACAACCAAGGAGTCACATAGACAGGACCATGTGTTAAACAACCAGATGGATCATTTTGTGGGGTAATGGAACCGTGCTGAGTGATAGATAATGGTTGTCCAATAGCTGTGTAGATAGGAGGAAGAGAAGATGAAGTGAAGACAGAGGATAAAAGTAAGGCATTACAAGTAATATGAAAGGAATAATCGAAGTTAAAAATCAAGAGATCATTCATACCAGAGACCGAAGGGTTAGCTAAAGAACCAGCAAAATGCATAGCAGAGAGTTGTGCAGCGGATGTAGAGGTGATATGTTGAAAAGAGTCAAGTTGACAGCGAAGACCTTCAATAGCTTGAATAGTAGAGTCTGAAGTGGTAGAATGTATAGCATTGGTTAGCAATCCTGGTGTACGAGAGGGTTAAGACTGAGGGGGTTGCCGACCCCGACTAGCACCTGAGGAACGTAACTCAGGATGAATCTTGAAGCATGTCTCAATGTGTTGTCCTTCCTTTTTTCAATATTTGTAAGAGAGCTTAGATCGAGCTTGTGGAGAGAGAGAGAGCCTATTAAGAAGTATGATTCATAACAGGAGCAATGATATGTACAGACAGAACAGTCTCGAGTGAAGAGGTAGGAGTACCTGTTGACAAATTGAGTCGTGTTGTCTGCTGCCGGGTCTCATAAGCAGTGAGAGCTCCCATAACTGAGGGCAAAGTCGAAAATTGAGGCTGATGAAGTTGTTGATCAGCTATAGATGAATATTCAGGAAGGGACTAAAACAGCTAATGCACCTCATGACGCTCGTACCAGGCTAGCCAGTCTTCATATGTGGAATCACGTCCAGGAAGTATAGAGCGTAATTCTGTCCACAAAGGTTGTATTTATCCAAAATGAGTCTACAAAGAGGAACTACCTTTGCGCTGTAGAGCAACGCGTTGCAGAAGATATGCCTCCCATGTACCAGAAAACTCAGTAAAACACTCAGTGAGGCGAGTGCACATGGCTCGAGCAAAGGGAAGCAAACCAATTTCGACAGTAAGACCGGAGCCAAAACAGTGAGTGAGATAATCCATGACACGAAATTCCTGCAACTGCCAGTCCGAACTTTCATTGACATAAAGAGAACGAGTGATCTGAAGATCGACATCACCACTGCCAGACATAACAGTACTGGATGAAGCAAACCGTGCTGATGGAAGGTGAAACTAGTCATGTACTGGTGAGATGATCAAGTAGACCAGTGTCACGTAGGGCATTGGTGACAATGATGGACCACCCTGCCCAGTCACTTTGATCACTAAGGGGCAGTGGTGGTTTAGGAATCTTCTCTGAAGGAGCTATAACAACAAACTGAAGTTCAAGATAATAATCTTTGAATGAAAAAACCCAAAGGTTAGAATGAAACCCGAAGTTTTCAAATAGAACCCGAATGTTAGAATGGAACCCGAAGGTTATATATATATATATATATATAGGAAAAAACTTTGGTCACCATTTCCTCGCGGTAGGGTGGTCAAGAAAAGTTTCTGCGAGGAATATTATTATTTCTCACGAAATCCTTTTTGCAATGAATATATTCTTTTCTCGTTGTTACTCTTTAGCCTCGATATTTTTCCTCACCTAATCTCATGCCTTTTTAATCGCTAAACTACAGTTTCCTCGCCAATGATATGTGAATAATATTTAATTTATATATAATAAAAGTTCTAAAAAACTATTTTCGTCGTTGTAAGTACCTTTCAACGAGGAAATTGATCCTCACCAAAGGTAAATCATTAATGAGGAAATTGATTTTCTTCATTATATGTATCTTTTTCTCGTGGAAACAGTTTCTCAGTAACGGGACTCAAAGACGAGGAAATTTAAATTTGTCATTGTAGGTTGTACCTCATATTCCTCGCCAAAGAAATTCAATTACGAGGAAATTTACATTTGTCGATATAGGTTATATGATCTATAACGAGGAAAATTACTTTTGCCGTTGTAGGTTGTATCACTATAGCGAGGAAATGTTTTTGTCAACGTAAGCAGTATACTCTATAACGAGGAAATATTTTTTTGACGATATGTGGCTTATTGCGAGGAAACATATTTTCGTCACCTTAAGTTGTAGGGTCTATTTCGAGGAAATTTACTTTCATCGACCTAAATATATAGCGAGAAAACTTATAATGAGGAAATTTTATTTTATCAATAATAATGCTATTACTAGAAAAACACAAAATATAAATAATTATCATCAATTGTCACCACAGTACATCAAAATAATTAAAATAAATAAAGCAAAAAAGGTACTACCATAAGTAACAATGCTAGTCTAAAGCAATAACAAATGCAACACGATTAAAGAAACATTTCTCCAAGTTTAAGTTCACTAAGAATCCTAAGTTGATGGATGTTGCCTCGAAAAATTAGCTATAAACTCCTCAAACTTTTCGGCTTGCTCCTCCAATCTTTGGATTACCTCATTTTGTGCATCGATCTTCTATTGTTGAGTTCCTACAAGTTGTTGGGTCTCTTGAAGCTGTTTTTGCAACTCTTTATTCTTTTCAGACATTTTACTCATTGAAGAACGAGAGAACCTTAATGGTGGTGGTCTAGGGCCAAAACCACAGCCCTTAATGTAGCCTGATTTGACTTTGAGAACTTTTATACAAATTTCTTCATCTGTCATTGTTCGAGTTCCATCAGGTTGAGTGGTATCTGCTCGCATCTTTATCATTTGATCCTATGGGTAAAAAAATGTATCCAGTTCAATCATATGCAACTTCTTAATTACAACCTAATCAATATAATCCTCTTTAGAACAGTATTATCAGTTTCACCTATATTCTTAAAATATTATAAAAGCATGCATCATTGACACGTTACTTACCCATTTTTCCTTTGCTCCCAAGTCCCATCCTGTTTTTGTACTTCTATACTCTGTTTCAAAACGATCAATTGCACCTTGCATCTCTCCAGTCCGTGTTGCCTATTGCATTCAAACATATTTTCATTTTAAGCATATATATATGTACACAATTAAGTTACAAATTTATAAGCAAAACTAAAAAATGTCTTACAAATTTATATATGTACACAATTCAGTTTCGATAACAGTATTGGAGAGAGATGGTCACATCCACTACTAAACCACTTTCAACAAATAACAAAAAGAAGGAAGGAGATTTTACTACTAATTCAAGCATCCCCATCTTAATCTTGCAATGTAATGGCAGCATCAAGAAAAAATAACAGTAAAATTATAGCTACATTTATCAAATTATGTCAAACTAAAATATCCCGCACAAATCAAAAAAAGAACATTAAAATTATGATATAAACTAATCGCTATCCTCATCATCACTTGAAATGATTGGTTCTTCATCACCATCTTTTGGATCATCTTCTTCTTCAGTATCATCATTTATCAAATTATCTTCACTACCATCATTCATCCAATCATCGTTCACAACCTCCAAAGCAACAATTTCGGGGTCAATATCATTAAGATGCAATTATGGAGTTTCAAAGCCCTCTTCTTGAATGAACCAGTGAACATCATTAAACTCGTCTTGTTGATAAGCATCATTTGTCACAGGATCTACATCATCCTCAACTATCACTGCACTTGTATCCTCGACCTCCGAAACATCCCACACGTTTCTCAATTGCACCTTTTGTACAACTTTCCAGGGTGAACCCAACTTACAGTCATCGAGATAAAACACTTGTTAGGCTTCCATAGCAAGTATGAATGGTTCATCATCATACCACGTAGAGCTTGTATTAATGCTAGTAAGATTATAATCATACCGTATCATTCTTCTCCTTTCATCTCTACTTGATTCGTCGGTGTTCAACCATTTACACTTGAATAAGAAAACATGATTCATATATAAGTACGTTAACTTCACAATACTTAGCAAAACACCATAATAATCATGACTTTCGCCAATAAAAACTCCAGGGACATACACCCCACTATTTTGAGTTGTCCGATGATCATCAAGATCTTTTGTATGATATCTAACTCCATCCACAATACAACCAGCATACGTGTGAACACGTAAATCTGGTTTACATGCTAGACAACAAATCTTCTCATCAGTTGCATCCATTAATCCGTTTTCTCTCTTTTTAATCATCTATGAATAACAATTGAAACAAGAAAGTTAGCATAGTGGTCATATACAATAACTAACTACTCTTTAAAATTGTGTATGAACTTACTTTTTTTTCAAACCAATCAGGGAACTCATTTTCTTGTCTTTCATACAACTTATGGTTACTTGTTTGCCTTAACTTCTTGTCTTTCATACAACTTATGGTTACTTGTTTGCCTTAACTCATCCTCATGTTCCCTACAGGTACAAGTTAGATAATTCAATCTCTAATCTGAATTAAAAAAATTAAACTCAATACACACAAATGCAAAAAAGACACTTACTTGAGATAAGGTTTCACCTCGTCACAGTTGTATAGACACACAAATGCAAAAAAGACACTTACTTGAGATAAGGTTTCACCTCGTCACAGTTGTATAGTACATACCAATGAGCTTTATTACTTGAGATAAGGTTTCACCTCGTCACAGTTGTATAGTACATACCAATGAGCTTTATTCACTTCCTTCTGGTCTAGTAATATATTTTTTTTTCCGAAGAATGGACGAACTTTCTGAGAGAAAATCGATAAACCATCTACTACTTGGTCATCTTCTACATTGATATTTCATTCTGCCCGGTTGATACGGGTTTCAATCTCACGAAAATACATAGAGCAAAATGTCACTGCTTCATTGACAATATATGCTTTTGCAATAGAACCTTCAGGCCGAGCTTTATTTGTAACATACTTTTTATATGTTCCTAAATTTCTCTCAATAGGATACATCCACCAATAGGTAACTGGACCACCAAGCAAAGCTTCACGAGGTAAATGGATTGCTAAGTGAACCATTACATCAAAAAAAGCCGGTGGAAAAATTCTCTTTAATTTGCATAATATTACAACAATCTCCTTCTCCGTTCTTTCAAAGTCTGACACCTTTAAAGTTTTTGCACATATCTGTTGGAAAAAAATGGCCAGCTCAACAATTGCAGTGCACACATCCTTGTCCAAATATGAACGAATACCAACTGGGAGGAGGCGTTGAAGTAAAACATGGCAATCATGATTTTTTAAATTATGTATCTTCCCATCGACAATGTTCACATTTTTGCAAATATTGGCTGCATACCCATCAAGAAATTTGACAACTTTGAGGAACTTACAAAACAGCCTACGGTATTCCAATTTTAAAACATATCTAGCATGAGGCTTCTTCAATTTATTCCCTTGACGTGTGAGATGCAATTCTTTTCTTATCTTCCTATCTGCCAAGTCCAAACGAACCTCGTTGGTGTCTTTAGTTTTCCCATCTATATTCAACAAAGTACTAATGACACTATCACATATATTTTTTCAACATGCATCACATCAATATTATGTCTCAACCTGAGCTTGGACCAATACTCTAACTCAAAAAGAATACTCTTTCTAGTCCAGTTTAGCTCATGAGGCTCACGGTGTCGCTTTAAATCAGGATTGTCAGGATGTTTTCCAGGCCTAGCTTTATAAACACGATCTAATTGCCGCAATATGTCATCCCCAGAAAATAATCTGGGAGGAGGACGATCTTCAACTAAACCGTTAAAATATTTACTCCTTCTCCACTCAAGATCCTCAGGCAAATTTTGTTGAGCTCCCATAAAACATAATTTTCCTCTCAACCCCTCTGAAGTTACATCTTCGTTACAAACAGGACAAGCTTTGTACCCTTTTGTGCTCCATCCAGATAAATTTCCGTAAGCAAAAAAATCATTTATAGTCCACAATACACATGCCCGCAAATTAAAATTTCTCCCAACAGAGGCATCAAAAGTTTCAACTCCAATATCCCACAATTCTTTTAATTCGTCTATTAATGGACGAAGATACACATCAATGTCTTTCCCAGGTGCTCGAGGACCAGGTATGAGTAATGACATCATTGAATACACTCCTTTCATGCATTTCCAAGGAGGCAGATTGTACGGCACTAGCATAACTGGCCACATACTATAACTAGTGCTCATGTTTCCAAATGGATTAAAACCATCTGTAGCAAGCCCCAACCTCACATTTCGACAATCTGCAGCAAAATCAGGATACTCTTGATCAAAGTGTTTCCACTCGGCAGAATCAGCTGGATGTCGTAGGAAACCCTCTTCATTTTGTCTTCTTTTTTTATGCCATTTCATTTCAGTCGCTATATGTCTCGACATATACAACATCCAAAGTCTCGGCTTCAATGGAAAATAACGCAAGACTTTTTGTGGAACTTTCTTGCATTTGCCATCACAAGACTTGTATCTCGGCTCCTTGCACACTGGACATTCATCCAGTTTCTTATTCTCTTTCCCATAAAACAGTGCACAGTCATACTTGCATGCATGTATGGATTCATACCCCAAGCCCAATTCTAGCAACATATTTTTAGCTTCATAGTTCGATGTTGGTATGGATGCACCTTTTGGATACGAGTCATTTAACAATTTCAGTAGATTTTTAAAACTTTTATTGCTCCAACGACCATCTATCTTGATCTGCATTAATTTTGTAATAAAAGATAATGCAGAGAACTTTGTACAACCCGGGTATAGTTCTCGTTGAGCTTCATTAAACAAATAATCATATTTGTTAACATGAATATCGTTCTCATCATCTGTCTCCATACTTATAGCCCCTTGGACATCATTTAACATGTCCAACATCGCAGCATTATCATCATCATCATCCCCGCTGTCACTTTCAAAATCCTCATACATTTGGTCGTCTGCGACATCAACAAAATATTCCCCATGCTCAGTTCATGTCGTGTAATGTTATGCAAACCCATTTACAAGTATATGTCTGCGTATCTCGGGTAGAGAAAGACATGGCAAGGCATTTTGAAATTTAACACAGGGGCAACGCGTCTTATTTTCATGATCTAGGTGTTGTTTTGCAGCATCCAGAAATGTTTGTAAACCATTGGTGAAGTCAGGGTTGTGAAACCTATCTCTAACAAACATCCAACTTCTGTCCATCATGTACCTATAATAAAAAACAAGGGGTTCCCCATTGAGAAACAGTATGACCAATCATAAAAAAGATACATAACCAACACTTGTACCTATGATCTAACTTACCTGTGGTTAATCGATAATTATAATATTTTTTTTGTTAATTAAGTGATAAAAATGAGACATTAACGTTGATTATTGATTTATTGAGGTACACTTCAACAGCCATAGACAAAATCAAGCATAAAATAACAAAAAAAAAGGAAAAAAAAAGTTAAAACATTAGCAAGAAGTTACAAATGCAAGCTGGATTAACATCAAAGTGAGAACAAAAAAGAAAAAAAAAATAACAATTTAAGTGATTGTGATTCACAAGGTGTGACACTTTAAGGTAATGAATGTGAGGAGCCCTTATCCCAGTGTAAAGTTATTTCCATCTTAGAGATGGAGAAACTTGCTTCAATGCCTGAGGCTGACCATAGAAGTTCTAGCTTTAGTCTTGAAGATGAAATTACGAAGAAAAAGACAGCTGAATTGCGAGAAAAGGTTGAAAAGCTTGACACCGAGAAAGCTAAGATGGAAATAGCTTTGGCTGATAGTCGAAATCAGCAGTATCTGTGAAAGTAAGTTGATTAAATGACATATGGAATTGGACTTAGGTAATGAATTGAAACAAGATGCTATGGAAAAAATGGCAGATATGGATGCAAAGGAAAAAGTATTACAGTCTCAACTGGACTCAACTCTGCTTGACATTGAGAAAATGCAAGATAAATTTACGTCTTTGGAAAGAAAAGCTGACGATTCATTATCTTCAGAATTAAAAACTAAACTAGAAGCTTCAGAAGCAACAAGGGAGGCTGTTGAATACAAACTCCAGTTAGCATATACAGAAGTAGAGAAGCATCAAGGGAGGCTGTTGAATAAAAACTTTCAGTAATCAAGACTTAAACCGGATCGATGATCCATGGCGCCAAACTAAGAAATATGAGACTGACATGAATAGTTAAATCAAAAATTTTAAACAACCAACAAGCAACCAGAACTTTAAATTCAAGCATCCCCATCTTAATCTTAATCTAAAACATCCCGCACAAATCAAAATTATAGCTACATTTATCAAATTATGTCAAACTAAAACATCCCGCACAAATCAAAAAAATAATAGTAAAATTATGATATAAACTAATCACTATCCTCATCATCACTTGAAATGAAGAATTTGAGGAGGAACTAAGATGTAAAAAGGAAGTCTATCATTCAAGGATCCAAGACTGCTTGGAGGAGTGGGGAGGGAAAAAAGGATGAAGAATTTGAGTTATTTTCTTAAGAATTGATAAAAAAGGAAGTCCATCATTCAAACTGCACTAAGTGTATGTTTGTTTCACTATCCTTCATTTCCAATTGGTACTCTCCAGGAACAGTGAGAATCTACAAATAGCTCAATTACCTGCAACCCAATATACAGAGGCATGGCTGACAATTTAGGGGGCCCGATTATGAAATTTCAATCGGGGCCTCTTAATTAATCTTCAGACCTAATTCAAACGCATTATTGTCATATTGTTCTTTAGAATTTAATCAAGTTTTTCAATCTACATAATTACTAACCAATTCACAATTTCATAAATAAAAAAATAAATAAAGGAAACCCCTTAGAAGTTAGAAAAGTATACCTAACGGCGTTAGGGCGACTGCGGAGTTCAGGGGGTAGCTTGCGATCGTGCCGGCGTCGATGAAGAAAGCGAGGCGGTGGCCTTGCTGTCGCTGCTACTGCTTGAGATGGAACAAGAGATTTCTTTTTGGTTCCCTTGATTGAATCAAAGATCTGTTAATAATTTCATAAATTAGATGCATAGCATAGACTTCACCCAAAATCAAACCCACAACTCGTCCCCACAAGCTTCAAGATAATTGACATTGACGAATCACAATGCGTTAAAATAACTCAAGTTTTTCAAAATTAGTTTCCAAATGCAATGGATTAAGGATTTCTTCTAACAGTTAGCAAAACTATAACAAAATCCGAATGTAAAAACCACAAAACTATTATAAATTCTTGTTACAATACGATTTCTCGTCTAAATCAAATATTTGCTACTAACTTCATAAACAGATTCACTTAATAAAAATCATCCAAAATAACTCAAAAATCCCTATTCAACTGGACAGTACAAATGTAATCCAAAGGTCAAAATCACAGCACTATAAATTACAAAGCAAATCCAAGAAAATGGTATGAAACATTTATTAACGAAAACCAAATCGGATCCAAACCTCTGTCCAAGAAAATGATATCAAAATCACAGCACTATCAATTACTAAAACCTCTATTATAAAAAAATCTTATTTTAAGTGATATGATTACTAATAAATACCTAGATTTCAAGCCACCGCATTTATTAACGAAAACCTAATCGGATCCAAACGAGACTCGATGGTGGATCCTGGATCCATGCCCGATACCAGAGGATTCGGTGGACTTACCACACGTGATCTGCTGCTCCACTGGCGAAACTATGATGTGGCGATGTCGGTTGGGTCATCGGTACTCTCCTCCGTCGCTTTCTCGAATTCAACAAGATCCGCGCCCAAATGGCGAGCACTAACGACGGTTTAACAGAATGGCGACGGGGGCGAACGGCGGAGTTCGACTCAGAGCGCGGCGGAGTTCGACTCGGAGCGCACTTCTGCCTGCCGCCGCTTCGAAGAGAAAGAAGAAAGAAGGAGGGCTCAGCGACGGGAGCTTTGGGGTTACTAATTTTGATCGATGGGAGATTTGGGGTTATTAATTTTGATATTGGACCGCTCTTTTATTTGAGTACCCGCTACTTTTTAGCCAAATTCCTACTAAAATTTTCCGCAACGAATAATGTGTATATTATTAATTCCTCACTGATTAGTTTTTTAATAAGGAAATGATTTCTCACAGAATAAAATATCAGATTATTTGCGACCACAATGTACAGAATTGATAGCGGATTGGGGATTTTTACAAGTCAAGATAATAATAAGGTTTAAAATACAAAATAAAAAACAAAGGTTTTTTCTAAATTAATTAGATGCACAGAATTGATAGCGGATTAGGGATTTTTACAAGTCAAGATAATAATAAGGTTTAAACTACCTAGATATTAGAAAGGGGGAGAGAAGCAACCACGATCTGGAAAGCGACAGTCTTAAGGTGTGATCAGACAGACGCCCAAAGATCTGGAAATCGACAGTATTGAGGTGTGATCGGAGATCAATTAAGACTTTCAGAGCGGAACTTTGTTGGGTCGTGCGGAGGATCAGGGCTTTGTTGAGAGCGGCCGGAGTTTTTTGGGCCGATCGTGCGGAGGGGATGAGGATGAGGTGAGAGCGGAGGGGTTTAATCAAAGGGAGAGCGGAGGTGATGAGAATGAGTTGATCAAAGCGGAGGGGTTTAATCGAGAGGGATAGCAGAGGTTAGAAGAGAAAGAAATCACCGCCTTCTTAATTTGTTTCCCGGTTTTATTTGGTCCCGTAAATTTGGTTTCCCACCTTAATTTTAATAAAAATATTTATTTTTTCTTTTAATTTAATTGAGATATAATTAAATATCTTATTTTTTCTTTTAATTTAATTGAGATATAATTAAATATCATTTAGCAACCAACTTTTTTTTAGTACCCGCCTACATTATTCATTCGCAAAACCCGCTCTTTTCTTTGAGTACCCGCCTACTTTTTACCCAAATTTAAACTAAAATTTTAGCCAACGAATAATGAGGATGTTATTATTTTCTCGCTGATTGGTTTTTTTAACAAGGAAATGATTTCTCGCAAAACAAAAAAATTTAGCGAGGAAGCCTTAAATTTGTCGCCATTGAATTTGGCGGGTTTTGCACATTTTTTCGCCAAACTAATAATGAGGAAACTATTATTTCCTCACAAATTGATTCTTTTAATGAGGAAAGGGTTCCTCGTAAAACAAAAAAATTAGTGAGGAAACCTTCAATTTGTCGTTAATAAATTTGGCGGGTGTTGCACGTTTTTCCGCCAAATTAATATTGAGGAAACTATAATTTCCTCGCTACTATTTTTTTTACTACAAAATGGTTCCTCGTAAAATAAAAACTTTTAGTGAGAAAACCTTAAATTTGTTGCTATTGAAATTGACGGGTTTTGCACAATTTTTCGTCAAACTAATAATGCGGAAACTATTATTTCCTCGCTAATTGGTTTTTAAACGAGGAAACATTTCCCCATAAAACAAAAATTTTAGCGAGGAAACCTTTAATTTGTCGTCAATGAATTTGGCGGGTGTTGCAAATTTTTCCGCCAAATTAATAGTGACGAAACTATAATATCCTCCCTAATAGGTTCTTTTTAACGCAGAAACGGTTCCTCGTAAAAACAAAAAACTTTTAGCGAGGAAGTCTTAAATTTGTCACCATTGAAATTAGCGGGTTTTTTCTTTCCCGCCAAACTAATAATGAGGAAACTATTATTTCCTCGCTAATTAATACTTTGATGAGGAAACGGTTCCTCGCAGATTATGGATCTTCAGCGAGGAAATCATACTTTGTCGCTGTATTTTTCGCCAAAAGAACAGCGATGAAATTATTATCTCCTCGTTAAATGTGCATTTCGCGATGAAAAAGCTCATCACCAAAATCTCATATTTCCTCGCCAATAAAATAACTAGTTAGGAGACCCATTCATCTTTAGTGAGGAACTAAAAAATTTCATCACAGAAAGTGGTCTGCTGTGAGGAAAATATATTCCTCGTAGAAGACCTAC